GTAAAACATTAACGGGTGGTACAACGATTTGTGATATTCATTCATATTCACTTTACACACATATATCCACTCATATAAACTGGATCGAAGATATACTTTCCCGATTAGAAACATCTCAACCACTACCCTCCTGTCGCGATTCAACTATGACAAATACAATTTCTACTAGTAATGTTCAATTCATTCCAACCTAAACAACTATAACATTCTCCTCATCTAATCAAAATCTCACTGTTTGTACGGCGCCTCCCGATCCTGAAAATGGTTATTGTCTATTGCACAAGAAGTATTGTTAAACACGAAAAGACTATGCTGTGGAGAAAGGTGTAGAACTAGTGAGCGGCTCTCAAAATATTTACGACTTTAATCTGGGATACAAAGTAAGTGGTTCCGGTGATGTATTTTATGATAATGAAGGAAATTTAGTTCATATTCCAGTTTGTACTTGAAAGATTTAAAACTTTAATGCAATTAAGATTAAAAGTATGTCAATATCTGTATGAATTGTTTTCTTTAATATTTTTATTATTTCCTAAATGTTTCTTACGTCACTATAGAAATTAGTTGCAAATCATTGGTTTCTGCATCAATAGACGCTGATTGTAAATTAAATGGTCAATGGGTGCGTTACGAATCTCCTGTTTTGCCTGAAATCATCGCACATTTGAGTTGTCGCGACAGATATCAGTAAGTGGGAAATGTTTAATCCAAACAAGGAAATCAAGTTACATGTAACAAGACAGGTCATTTGGAACCACAACCAATAGAATGTATACTAAGTATGCTGTCTACTAGTATTCCTGTTGAGGGTAGAAGAATAACGTTTTAAGTTTTTATTGAGGAAAATTACTTTTTTCTTCAATTAATCGAAGTATTGCCTAAATAAATTCTATTCTATACAGATGCTTATAACTTGAATTATTGCAATACCATATTACAGAAAATTATGAATAATAATGGTAATAGTCCTTTTTTCCTGATCTTTTTTATAGACCTATTCTCTACTTCCACTTGTTAGACCAGGTATTTCGTTGCAACGTATCACTTTATAAGATATAAAACTTAGTTCCTTATTAGACAGTTCATTGACACCTACTAGGTTCATTGGTTTAAAGAATTAACAAAGAATATATCTTCTCAGAGTAAAGTCCTAATCACTCCGTGTCTATGAATTTTTACGTCTACGCCTATGGATTGAATGGTTATATTTCTTAAGAACGGTAATAAAAATAAAATCTCCAAGATGTTAACTTAAGATTAGGCGTATCTTTTATTCGTGAAAATAAAAAAAAAAGGTTATAAATATAGTCACGATAAATGTGTCCAGTTTCTACATAATATTTATTTGGGTTCTCTATCCCTCGATATGTATCATCGTAGACGCAATGTACTGCGGTAAGAAGTAAGTTTTCTTTTATTAWTGTTGCTCCACAAATAAATTTCTTTGATCCATTTTTAGCTTTATGATAAGATAAAAAAGAAGCGTGCTAGGAAATTTTACAAATTATAAATAAATTTTCGGCTGCAGCTTCGATACGTTCATAAGGAGTTATTATTTTAGAAAAAGCMAATCCGTATTTTTAAATATGCAATTAAACATATAAAACGGTCGTARAAATTCATATAGTTCGAATCAATATTAATAATTTACTATTTAAATGCCATTACTTTTCAATAATACTCCTGAATATATATAACTTTGTATCATATAATGTTTACAAAAAATATAATTCACAATTGTAAACGTTAAATTACAAACATATAATGTGCCAAAATATTGTTTTTTGATTAGGAAGTGTTTCATTTTAATTTATTTATAAGTTACATAAGAAATTAGCTTTAGATAGCTGTTTTCCTTTTAAAAGCATTAGACGGTTGATAATTAATTTAAWTAGTTRAAGAATGGATTAATAGATAATGTTAAGCGTGTGTAGAAATAGTCAATAAGAAAAATGTGACTAGCACATGATTCATGAAAAAATTGTAATTTTTTGTAACGATTAGTTCAAG